AGTCAGTTTTTGTGGCTTTCAGCTGCTGCTGACCCTGGATTGCTCTGCAGATTGAGAGAGAGAGAGAGAGAGAGAGCGCGAGCCTTCATCCAGAAGCCTGCTTCTGTGACGCCCTCCCTGTGGTGCCACTGCCCCCTGCTGCCACCTTCCGGTTCAGGGGGAGCCCAGAGCCCCAGAGCCCTAACCGCTTTGCCTTTTGTCTCTCTGCTGCTTTACAAGGCTCTCGCAGGAAGCTACGGACAGAGGAGGCGTGGAAGGGAGAAAGTATGCCCACGTCCAGTCCAACAGAGAGCAAAACGCGGCCACTGGCGGCTGAGGCTGGGTGGGGAAAGATGCCTTCGCTGAGGGCTTTGGGCACGTGAGGGGAGCAGTGGCCCATCCTCTGTCACTACCCCTCTCCCCGCCCCAGTTCATTCCTCATTTTTTTTTTTTTTTTGGACAGGCAGAGTTAGACAGTGAGAAAGAGAGACAGAGAAAAAGGTCTTCCCTCCATTGGTTCACCCTCCAAATGGCTGCTATGGCTGGCGTGCTGCGCCAATCCAAAGCCAGGAGCCAGGTGCTTCCTCCTGGTCTCCCATGCAGGTGCAGGGCCCAAGCACTTGGGCCATCCTCCACTGCATCCCTGGGCTACAGCAGAGAGCTGGAATGGAAGAGGAGCAACCGGGACAAGAACCAGTGCCCCAACCGGGAGTAGAACCCGGGGTGCCGGCGCTGCAGGTGGAGGATTAGCCAAGTGAACTGCGGTGCCAGCCAACTACTCAATTCTTGACTGGGCCCTAGTATGTTCCAGGCACAGGGATGAATAAAATGCACACAGTCATCGCTCTCAGAAAGCTTACAGTCTCCTGGGAGTTATATAGTTTAATAAAGGTTAATTATGCCAGCAAACGTGCACTGGGAAGAAACGGTTCAGGGCATCGAGAGAAGCTTCTAGAAGGCCATGGAAGATTCTCTGAGGAAGTTAGGCCTGGTAAGCTAACTCTGGAGGATAAGGGAGAAGCGTGGGAGATGGAAGGCACGGCATGAGCAGAGACCCTGAGGCAGGAAGGGGCAGAGCCTGCAAAGCAGTGCTGGGAGAGAGGCGTGGCTGAGGAGCCAGGCAGTAAACTGCTCTAGAACCTTCTTTGTCCTCGGTGTTGCGCCTGCTTCCTTAAAGACTTTCAGGGCCTCCTCAGTCGCTGCAGGCCACTTTGAGCTTGAAAAAGTCGCCTCCAGACTGCCCACAGATCACCCCAACCCGGCCTATACTCGTCTCGGGGTCTGTGAAGAAAACACATTTGTCAAAAGACTCAAGCAAATAGTTTGGACGTGCGGTTCTTCCCGGGAGGGAGGCTATAATGAAGTCAGCCCCAGTTTACACGACTCCAAATGGTTCCGTTTAAACGGCTCCCCCTGTGTGCACGCAGCCTCGCCACTTCAGTTCACTGTTTATCTTCCAGTGGACCCGACGAACAGTCTTGGCCTCTGCTTAACTTCAGTCTTTACTTTTTCCATTCCACGGTCTATCATTTACATTTTTGCTTCAGGAAACGTAAATATTTATTTACGGTATTAGCTTTTACTCTTGCATAGCTCTATACATTATGGAACAAACAGTACGCTATGGGTTCTAGTCCTGAATTTTCCATAAACCGGTGGTGACCTTAGCCAAGTCATTTAACCTCACCGAGCCTGAGAGCCTTCTTTGTACAGCGAGGTGTCTTCCGTGCTGTTTTGCTGGTTTTATTTAGCCAACAGATATGCATCCAGGATCCCTGGGAAAGCCCGAGATTCGGATCTCTTTCGGCCACTCAGGGGTGTTTCTCTTACATCTGTGTCTTCATCCCCCTCTCTCGCTGAATGTCTCTGTGGGTAGGGCTGACTTCCTGCATAATTATGTGGGGTATGTACACAGAACGGTATTTAACAAATGAGAATAGATCCTGATAACTCGCGCTAAAGCTAAGGTATGCGTGGAGCGGGCATAGTGGCACAGTGGGGTTAAGCCCAGCATGGGACATGTGCAGCCTATATTGGGGATGCCTGGGTTCGAGTCCCAGCCACTCCATCTCTGATCCAGTTTCCTGTTCATGCATCCTGGGAGGCAACAGTGATGGCTCAAGTGCCTTGGAGCCCGTCCATCCATTTGGGAGACCTGGATGGAGATCCGGGCTCCTGGCTTCAGTCTGATCCGGCCTTGGCTGTTGTAGGCATTTGGGGGAGGGAACCAGCAGGTAGAAAATCTATTTTCCTTTCTCCATTGCCCTGCCTTTCAAGGAGATGAAAATAATTCTTTTTAAGAAAACTCACATGAATCTAGAGCATAATTAAGGAGTAGGAAAGTTCTAGCAACTGTCTGACATTCTCTTAGATTGCTTCTCAAACTGGGATGTAGGTACTTACAGGGGTACACAGAGGTGTGCCAACAAATACAGGAAGCCCTTCCTTCAGGAACAAGAATTCTACTCAAAGAGTTGAGGAGGAGGAGGGGCCAGCACTGTGGCATAGTAGATTAAGCCTCTGGCTGCGGCACCAGCATCCCATATGAGTGCCAGTTTGAGTCCTGGCTTTTCCACTTCCGGTCTAGGTCTCTGCTATGGCTCGGGAAAGCAGTGGAAGATGGCCCAAGTCCTTGGGCCTCTGCACCCACATGGGAGACCCTGAAGAAACTCCTGGCTCAGCTCCAGCCATTGCAGCAATTTGGGGAGTGAACCAGCAGATGGAAGACCTTTCTCTCTCTCTGTCTGTCTCTGTAACTCTGTCTCTCAAATAAATAAATCTTAAAAAAAAAAAAAAAAGATTTGAGGAGGAGAAATAGACTTAGTATTCAAGCAAACATGAATATATTATGAAGAGAGGATAAAAGTCCTATGACACTATATAAAGGAAACCCTGGGTGGACAGCTTTGAGCCTGCTTCATTCCACATGAGAGGAAACAGATTTTATTTCTGTTCTGGAGTTGCTTGAAAAATACTTGCCTTATGGCCTTTTTGATGTATGTGCACTTTAATAGGGTAAACATGTTAAGCTACCCAGGAGGGGTATGTAGAAAATCCAATTTCACCCACTAGGAGAATTCAAATCGGGTCCTGAGGTTGAGTGAGAGCCAAGCTGAACAAAAGACGGAATGAGTTACAGAATCCTACCTAGGACTGGCTAACGGCTGGGCTTGAACTGACCCAACGCCGGGAGACCTCTCACACTCAGTGTTTCTCCGACCCCCAGCGGCACTTCGGGTGTGCACTCTCAGCCCTGGTACACTCATGCCATTAGTTCCGTTTTCTTTTGTGTATATGGCTTCTCCACTGAGTCAGGCAGGTGGTGTGAATTAACAAGTCTTAGGATCCAGAGTCGAGAGCCTGCCGACCTTGTCACTCTGGATTCTTCCCCGAAATCTCTCCTGCTGGCCTACTTAAGTGCTCCGACACAACAGCTGCCTTGCCTACTGAAGAGGTAGGACCGCGGGCATAGCATATGGACTTGCAATGTAAAAGCACTGTGTAAATCATTAAGCAAAAATCAGTTATTAACTAAGACCCCAAAGGGAAAGGGAGTATATCTTTCACATCATCTTTGTATTCCCCCCACGTCTAACTTTTGCCTGGCCGGCTCCGATAACTATTAATGATAAGGATCATGAAATGCTGGACCTGGAGTGACCCCGGGAAAACTCTGCTTTTTGCCTTTCTCTGCTACCTCCGTCTTTTCCTCCTCTTCTGGTTTCAGTTACCCCCTCCCCCTCACCGCGTGCTTCAGTACTGCTGTTTCTTCCCTCTGACCCTCCCGGAGAATTCCGATATTAGGAGGACATTTCCAGAGATGATTTCATGTAATGAACGAACTGCTAAGGCCACCAGTAGGAAGAGTTTCACAGCCATGCCATGTTTGTGGGGAATACAAACTGGTGTTACGCTCTCTCTCTGCCAGACATAAAAATGCTCAGATTTCTGGATTTTTTTTTCTTTTTGAAGAGAAATTAACAGCCCCAGTCTAAATGCTCCCCTATGTAACAACGGAGCATCGTATTTCATTGAACTCTTCCCTGAAGTCACCATGCTTGGTTTCCTCGCACGCATGGCAGGTGGGTTTAGGGCGAAGGGCAGCCTGCCTCACCCACGTCCCCAGGGGAGGCAGCAGCAGAGGGGGAGGAGGAGGAGGAGGAGGAGGAGGAGGAGGAGGAGGAAGGTGTACGGTATGTGTTTGCTTGAGTAACTTTCTGGGCCATGCCCTTCCTACATTCCTGGGCCTTAGTAGCATGTGGGCTTTTTTAAAGCAGAAATGTTCTTGGGCCATTTTGTAATTTTCTCCTTCAAAACCCACGAGTTGTGCAAGAAAACAGCCACACTGCACTCTAACAAGCCAGGCAACAGTTACAATGAGAACTTGGGCAAGGCAGAATTTCTCGTAGGTATTACTTTTATCTTTTGTTTGTTTTATTGTTTCTTGAAGGAGGCTTTTGTTGGTAGGAAACCAAGTCAGGGTAATAAAGGGAGATGAGAGAATGTGTAGTGGAAACTTCTTTTCCCAGAATTGAAGGATGGGGGGGGGGGGGGAGCTCACACTTCTGCACAGGCTACCGGGGCAGGCTGAGAACCAAGAAAGCCCAGTGAGTGACCTGGCGCCCAGGAGCAGGAGGGCCCCAGGCCAGGACCAAAGCCTTCTCGTGAGGAAGAGGAGCTAAACAAACCCATGCTCCTGGGTGTGGTGTTGTCTTCCAGGCCTTAAAGAGGGCTGAAAAGAACCCACAACCCAGCAGGCCTTGCCTGCCCAAGTGGTGTCAGGTGATCTTCGTGGAGTGGGCGCGGGAGCCGGTGGACAGGGGCGGCCGTGCAGACAGTGGCCGGAAGCCTTAGAGGCTTCGTGCTCACGAGGGCGGGCGGAAGGCCAGGGCTGTGGGGCCGGCACGTGGCCAGCACGTGGCCTGCCCTCCCCCCGTTGCCTGGGAGACCCAGGGGCATTGTCTTCACATCCCGGACTCAACCAAAGAGCGCGCCGGCGGGGGTGCGCGGCGGGTGGCCTCCTCGCTGCCCCGCTGCTCTCGCCTGCTTGCCACCCCCGCCACCCCCGCCGTCGCGCAGCTGTGGTACGGCCCGGGCTGTGGTACGGCCCGGGCTGCGAGGCCGCGAGGCTGCGAAGCCCAGAGGCTCGGCGCGCACCGCAGAGTGGGCGGGCAGCGGCGGGGGAGAAGGTGAGGGGCCGGGGGCCCGGGCGTTACAGCGCGGGGTTGCCTGGCCGGGTCCTTCGGCCGGCTCTCCCCTGCTCTCTGGCCTCGGCTTCCCCAGTCCCCTTTGCCTGTGTGTCACCTGAGAGACCCTGAAGCGGCTTGCCCACCCGTCCCCCGTGCCCCAGTGGGTCCGACGAGCCAGGCCTCGGGGGCCGCCCTGGCGGTTGGGGAGCCCCCTCCCCCGATACGAAGCCCGCGCTGTTTCTCCTCAGCTCGGATACCATCAGCAAAATGCCGGACGTAGAGGGGAGCGTGCCGCCGAAGGACCACGGCGAGGCAGAGAGCGGGCCCTGCAAACCGGAAACGTCAGCACCGACCCAGGAGGACAAGAGCGGCCCCATGGACCCCGCTCCCTGTAGGTGCCTCCAGCCCGTGGGGGTCTCAGGGTGGATTGTGTTGGAAGGAGCCGCAGCCCCAGTTTTCTGTTTGCCCTTCTCCGGACCCCAGGCCTTCCTTAGCTGGCCCTAGGCCCCCTGTTGCCCAGGGATCTTCAGAGAGGCAGGTCCTGGAGGAGGACGTGACCCCGGGGCGACCTTGAGTCTGGCAAGGTTGGAGGCTGAGTCGGTTCCAAGCCATCCTCGTAGTGTTGTGTTCTGAATTTGTAGGTGGCAACCGGCAGCTGCCTGGGGTTGATTTTGAAAGAATTCATGTTGTTTTCTCTGTGCCGTTCTGCCCTGGGCTCAGTCTCCCGCCCCGCGCTGCCGGGCAGGTTGATGCCCCCTAGTAGGGCACGAGGTCTCTTCCGCCCTGGGTGGTAGGCCGCGCTCCCTGGGACTTCTGCTGAATTCCTCTTAAAGTTGTTCCAGAAGATTTACCCAGAGGTCATTGTGAAGCGCTGTCTGCAGCAACAGCCTACACCAAAGTGCGTGAAGGTTGAAATGCAAAAATGCAATCGGAGGCTTTGCTGCTTAATTAGCTGTTCCCCTTGTGGCCACGTGGGGTCGCTGCTGGTTAACGATGGTACCAAAGCCGCGTTCTGGGGCGCGTCCCGCAGGTGTAAGCCTAATGTGGGGTGTAAGTATCGAGGTGGCTCTTTATATGAATCCTTAGGTAAATGAACTCTTAGTAAGTTGAATAACCAAACTCCTATTTAAGAAAATAAATTTGAAGTTTTGTATATTAGGTTGACTTCGTTAACAACTTAATCTTAAATTCTTGGGATCCGGATTTAAAAAATCAATTTTAGTTATATTTAATCTCTAATTTCTCTTAATCCTGAATTTTAGAGCCATTCTGGAGTTGCTTAGTTCTGTTTTGAACCATAGAACATAGTTCTACTTTTGAACCGTAGAACGGTCTTTCACGGAAGGCTATGGACTTTGATCTGTTGTAGTTGTAAGTGTATAACACTTCTTGAGTCCCTCCATAAGCTGCTGTAGCTGATCTCCCTTTGAAGAATTTTTCTTCTCATTTAGCATCAGTGAATTACCAGTGAGTCCATTTACATATTTGATTGTGTTTTGCCATTTTTGGTCAGGCCAGGACTAAGGATTTAGAGAGGCTGCGGGAGGTTCAGTTCATCTTTGTTTACCTAAGCGGAGGCTCAGAAGATTTTTAGTAAAGGCCTAAAGTCACCATTTCCCTTTATTTTTTATTTTTATTTTTATTTATTTATTTTTGACAGGCAGAGTGGACAGTGAGAGAGAGAGAGAGACAGAGAGAAAGGGCTTCCTTTGCCGTTGGTTCACCCTCCAATGGCCGCTGCGGCCAGTGCACTGCGGCCGGTGCACCGCGCTGATCCGATGGCAGGAGTCAGGTGCTTTTCCTGGTCTCCCATGTGGGTGCAGGGCCCAAGCACCTGGGCCATCCTCCACTGCACTCCCTGGCCACAGCAGAGAGCTGGCCTGGAAGAGGAGCAACCGGGAAAGAATCCGGTGCCCGGACCGGGACTAGAACCCGGTGTGCTGGCGCCGCAAGGCGGAGGATTAGCCTAGTGAGCCGCGGCGCCGGCCACCATTTCCCTTTAACTTTTTGTTTTGAAATATTTAAAACCAGTTGAAAATTTTTAAAATAACTGTGGACGCCCATATTGTTAATATTCTGTCACACTGCTTTTTTCTCCCCATATGTAAAAAGTATATACTCATTTATATGCTTGTGTGTGCATGTGATTATTTTGAAAAGTTTATGGAAAATGGAATTAAAAGATAAGTTTATTTTGGTACGAAAGACTTTTTAAATTTTTCTTAATGTTTGAGTCACAGCTTTATTTCTAAATTTTTAAAAAATATTTATTCATTTGAGAGGCAGAGATCTTCTATTTGCTGGTTCACTCCCCAAATGACTGCAACTGCCAGAGCTGGGCTGATCTGAAGCCAGGAGCTTCTTCTGGGTCTCCCACATGGGTGGCAGGGGCCCAAGCATTTGGGCCATCTTCCACTGCTTTCCCAGGCCACAGCAGAGAGCTGGATCAGAAGTGGAGCAGCCAGGACTTTAATCAGCACCCATATGAGATGCCAGCATCACAGGCAGAGGCTTAACCTACTAAGCCATAGTGCTAGCCCTTTTTTAAATTCCTTTTTTTAAAAAGAGAGTTATTCATTTGAAAGGAAGAGACAGAGATCCTCGATGTGTTGGTTCAATCCCCCAAATGGCTGCAACATTCCAGGCTGAGCCAGGCTGAAGTCGGGAGCCTGGAACTCCTCCCCGGTGCCCACATGGGTGGTAGAGGCCTAAAGACTTAGGCCGTCTTAGGCTTTTCCAGGTGCATTAGCAGGTAGCTGCATCAGAAGCAGAGCAGCCAGGATTCAAACTGATACCTGCATCACAAGCATCAGCCTAACCCATAGCACCACAGTGCCAGCCCCTTCATCTTTTTACTGCAGAAAACTTTTACAAAAGTAGACACCCAACATGTGGACCCCCCCCCTGCTTCTCAGATCAGTCAGCTCCAACAGTGATCAACTCATGGCCAATCTTAGTTCATCTGTCGTCTCCATTTTCTGAAAACAAATTATGTTTAATTGTGAAGTTCCCATTGAGAATGGGAAAATAGTCACTGTCTGTAACTTTGTTTATAGACCAGATAGTCTTTGTGAGTCTCACATATGTATTATGTGAGAATGCTATCTTTGTAGGTCTGTACTTAGTTTATTTTTTTTTAAGATTTATTTTATTTATTTGAAAGACAGAGTTAGAGAGAGAGGTAGAGACAGAGAGAGAGGTCTTCTATCTGCTGGTTCACTCCCCAGATGGCCGCAACAGCCAGAGCTGCGCTGATCCAAAACCAAGAACCAGAAGCTTCTTCCAGGTCTCCCACGCAGGTGCAGGGGCCCAAGGACTTGGACCATCTTCTGTTGTTTTCCCAGGCCATAGCAGAGAGCTGGATCAAAAGAGGAGCAGCGGAGACTAGAACCGGCACCCATATGGGATGCTGGTGCTTCAGGCCAGGGTATTAACTCACTGCACCACAGTGCTGGCCCTTGTACTTAGTTTAGAAGAGTGGTCACCAGATGCTTATACAGATCTATGATAAAATTCCTAGTAATATTTGGCAAAATTATAAAGATACTGTAATGAGATTTTCTGAAGCTAAATTGATCCTGTTTAAAGGCCTGCTCTTTAACAGTATTTCATTTCTACTTTTTTGTAAGTTACTTTTATGAGATGATAATTTTGATGTTGATAGAGTGGATTTTTATTTGTTCATACTTAGCAAAATTAGATGTTGGCAAGTTGTGGTCAGCTGCTTAAAGTCTTTTTGGAAACTAATAGTATTAATCTGAGAAGTTCTAAAAAATCTGAAGCTGCTTTAGAAAGCCAAGGGATGTTAGCACTACTCAGTCACATCTGAGTATTGTTTATAAGGAGAAGTTAGCTTTCCTGTGTGTAGCATCAGAGACAGCAAAGCCAAGTGGACTTTTTGAGAGAGAGCAGAGTGCTCGAATCTGCTCATTCACTCCCCAAGCGCCAGCGACGGCTGGAGCTGGGCTGAGGCTGAGGCCAGGAGCCAGGAACTCAATCCAAGTCTCTGGTGTGGGTGTCAGGGACCTCCCAGGGTCTACACCAGCAGGCAGCTGGAGGCGGGTAGTGAACCCAGGCACTCTGATCGGGGATGTGGCCATTTCTATCAGCAACTTAATCACCAGGTCAAAATGTCTACATGGAAAAGCAGACTTTTTTTTTTTTTTTTTTTTTTTTTTTTTTTTTTTTACCTATTTTTATTTATTTACAGGTAGAGGAGCAGAGAGGAAGAGAGAAAGATCTCCCATCTGCTGCTTCACTCTCCCAGTGACCAAACCAGTTGGGGCTGGGCCAGGCCAAAGCCAGAAGCCAGGAACTCCATGTGGGTGGCAGGAGCCCAAGAATTCGGGCCATCTGCTGCTTTCACAGGCACATTAGCAGGGAGCTGGATCAGAGGCAGAGCAGCTGGGACTCAGTCTGGCACTCTGACATAGGACGCTGGCATTGTAGGCGGCGGCTTACGTCACTGTGCCACAATGCCAACCCTGAAAAGTAGACGACTCTTAGATAATGTTTATTTTCACAAATCACAAATTATTGTTTCTTTACTGTTTTAATTGTGATTTTGCTTTTATGAGGAAAGTTTTTAAACGAGCTTCATTTTCTGTTTTTTATAAATTAACTTCTTTGTCGTCCCTTCCCTCCGTGGCGGGAGCTCTGTGTCGTGAGGCACGGAGCTCCCTCGGCAGTGGTTGAGGGACTCTGTGAGGTGGGCTGTACACGTCCACGTGTGGAGTCTGAAGGTGGGTGAGTCTGGATGAAACAGATTCCGGCTTGTACGGGGCCACTGTTCTTCACGTGGCTTCTTTGTGTTGCAGGTCTGACAGAGCCCGTCAATGAAGCTTCCACGCTGAGCAACGAAACTGAGATGCGTCCGGATCTCCACATGGACGAGAAGATTGTACCTCCGAGCAGGTATGGGCCCTTCCGCTTTCGCCATGTCGCGCCTCCTGGAATAGCTACTTAGCATCAGTGGCTTCTGACCAGACTTGAAACATTAATTTTTCCCCCTTTGTTTGAGAGACAGAGACACAGAGACAAAGATTCCATCTACTGCTTCACTTCCCAGGTGCTTGCAGTGGCCCCTCCCCACCCCCAGTGCCAAAGCCAGGAGCCCGGAACTGAATCCACATCTCTCGTGTGGGTGGCGGGAACCCATCATTGCTGCCTCCCAGGGTCTGCACTAGCAGGTAGCTGGAGTCAGGAGCCAGAGCCAGGAATGGGAGGTGGGCGTCTCAATTGCTAGGTTAATGAATGCCTGTTCTTTTTTTTCTTTTTTTTTTTTTTTTAAGATTTATTGTTTATTTGAAAGACAGAGTTACAGAGAGAGGTAGAGACAAAGAGAGAGAGGTCTTCCATCTGCTGGTTCACTCCCAAATTGGCAGCAACGGCCGGAGCTGCGCTGATCTGAAGCCAAGAGCCAGGGGCTTCCTCCGGGACCCCTCACAAGTGCAGGGGCCCAAGCACTTGGGCCATCTTCTACTGCCTTCCCAGGCCACAGCAGAGAGCTGGATCGGAAGAGGAGCAGCCGGGACTAGAACCGGCGCCCATATGGGATGCTGGGCTTCAGGCCAGGGCTTTAACCCACTGTGCCACAGTGCCGGCCCCTAAATGCCCATTCTAATGGAAGTATTTTTATTTATTTCTAGAGTATCAGAACATACTAATAGAGTTGAAAACCAAATCTAAGGTAGAAAAATTAATTTAAGAAATTAAGAAAAATTAATTTAAGCTCTGTATACAGTTCTTGCCTTGAGAAAGTGAAAGTATCATTTTGCCCTCCAGGTTAGGTTAAATTTCTTCTTCTTTTTTTTTTAAGATTTATTTATTTGAGAGGCAGACTAATAGGGGAGGGGGAGAGAGAGAGAAAGAGAGAGAAAGAAAAACAGAGGAAGAGAAATGTTCGTCCGCTGGCTCACTCCCCAAATGCCCACAATGGTCAGAATTGGGCCAGGCCAAAGCCACAAGCCAAGAACTTCATCTGGGTCTCCCTTGTGGGTACAGGGGCCCAAATATTCAGGCCCTCTTCCATTGCTTTCCCTGGTGCATTAGCAGGGAGCTGGATTAGAAATGGAGCAGCCAGGATTTGAAAGGGTGCTCGCATGGGATGCAGGCGTTGTAGACAGTGGCTTAATCTGTGCTACAATGCTGGTTCCCCACCCCCACCCCTTTAAAAATATGTATTTATTTGAAAGAGTTAGAGAGAAGGAGAGATGGAGTAAATTTACTAACCCTTACATTGGCCTTCCTTTAAATCTTGAGTCTTCCCACAACCAAGGCGAAAGCCCGAGAGGGTGTGCTCGGTGCTTTACAGGTGCTTTACGGAGCATCTGCACGCGAGGACGCCGTCCAGAGGCTGCCCGTCAGGGGGCGCTGCACCCTGCCGCAGGAGCACCGCTTGTATTTTGGTGGTGAGTGCTGCAACAGCCTCTTAAGTGTTCAGACCATTTCCCCCATCGAGTTGTGGCTTTGGCTCTGAGGTCTCAGCCAGTGATTTTTCTTGCAGTATTTTGCCGTTTACTGCCAGTTTCTGTCTGACCCAGTCAGATGTCTGAGGCTGTTCTTCCCCAAGCGCACAAGGAAATGAAGCGATAGACAGCTGGAGTTTGCTCTCTGCGGGAATAACCACTCGCTGCAACCCCGGTCCTTTAAAATGGCAGCTCTTCCCACCCCAAGGGCCAGGTGTCCCTGCTCACAGACAGAAAGCTCAGGGCTGAATGCAGGAGAGCGGAGCTCCAGGCCAGAGGGGAGCCCGCTCTGGAGCCGTGGGGTTCAGGGCGGGGTGGGGGAGAGAGAAGACCCCAGGAAGGGGACTCGCGGCTCCTTCCTGTGTTCCTGAAGGGCTCTCAGGGCCTCCAGAAGCCTCCTCCTGGTGGCAGCCAGAGCCCTGTTGTTTCCTTTGAATAACTTTCGTCCCCTGCCCGCCACATGGGGCGATAGCGGCTTTCAAGGAGTCCTGTCAGAGGTGAAAGGGAACTGGATGGGAGATGGGCGGTGGCAGGAGGAGGCGGTGGGAGGAGCAGAAGCAGGTGAACAGATCAGGTCTCAGAAGAGCCCGTTTAAGGGGATTTTTACATTTTCCAGAGAAGGAACAGCTCAAGAAAAGAGGGTTCCAGGGGCCGGTGCTGTGGGGTGGCAGGTTAACCGCTGCCTGCAGCGCCCGCGTCCCATATGGGCACTGGGGTGAGTCCCCGCTGCTCCACTTCTGACGCAGCTCTCTGCTGATGGCCTGGGAAAGCAGTGGGGGGTGGGCCAAGTGCTTGGGCCCCTGCACCCATGTGGGAGACCCACAAGAAGCTCCTGGCTTCAACCTGCCCAGCCCTGCCTGTTGGTGGTCATTTGGGGAGTGAACCAGCAGATGGAAGATCTCACTCTGTGTCTCTAGCTCTGTAATTCTCGACTTTCAAATAAATAATCTTAAAAAGAAAAAGCCCTCAGTCAGCTGAGAAGTTCCCATCATAGAAAGAGGTTCCCATAGAAAGGACAAAATACTTAAAAAATTTCAGCCTGAATATCAGCTTTTAATTAAGCTGGCTTTTGACCATAGAATTCTTTAATAAGATTCTTTTTTTTTTTTTTCATTTTAAGTGCAGGGCGCTTGCGTTTCTAATGTCCCTATTTTTACAGCATCTGTAAATGTGTGAGGCAAATGGAACAGTTTCTGTGGGTGATGAGGACAGTGAGTGGACTTTGGGTTACTTCTAGAATCATGTTTTTGTAAAGATTCAAATCGCAGGGGCTGCCGCTGTGCCATAGTGGGTGAAGTTGCTGCCTGTGGTGCCGGCATCCCATATGGGCGCCAGTTCAAGTCCCAGCTGTTCCTTTTCCCATCCAGCTCTCTGCTAATGTGCCTGGGAAAACAGTGGAAGATGGCCCAATTGCTTGGGCCCCTGCAGCCACATGGTAGACTTCAGGGAAGCTCCTGGCTCCTGGCTTCGGATCAGCCCAGTCCTGGGCATTGCAGCCATCTGGGGAGTGAACCAGCAGATGGAAGACGCCCTCTCTGCCTCTGCCTCTCTGTAACTCTGCCTTTTAGATAAGTAAATGAGTCTTTGGGAAGAAAAAACAAAAGATTTAAATTGCACGGAAAGGGTTCCTGGTTTTAGATCTTTAAAATATTGGGGCCGGCGCCGCGGCTCACTAGGCTAATCCTCTATCTTGAGGTGCCAGCACACCAGGTTCTAGTCCCGGTCGGGGCGCCGGATTCTGTCCTGGTTGCCCCTCTTCCAGGCCAGCTCTCTGCTGTGGCCAGGGAGTGCAGTGGAGGATGGCCAAGTACTTGGGCCCTGCACCCCATGGGAGACCAGGAGAAGCACCTGGCTCCTGCCATCAGATCAGTGCGGTGCGCCTGCTGCAGTGCGCTGGCCGCGGTGGCCATTGGAGGGTGAACCAACGGCAAAGGAAGACCTTTCTCTCTGTCTCTCTCTCTCACTGTCCACGCTGTCGAGAAATACACCCACAAAAAAAAAAGGAAAGAATTAAAAAGGGAGAGGCAGAGAGAGAGAGAGATCTTCATCTTCCATCTGCTGGTTCACTCCCCAAATGGCTGCAACAGCCAGGACTGGACCAAACCAAAGTCAGGAGCCAGGAGCTTCATCCATATCTCCCACATGGGTGCAGGGGCTCAAGGACTTGGGCCATCTTCCACTGCTTTCCCAGGTGCATTAGCAGGGACCTGGATTGGAAGTGGAGCAGCTGGGACTCGAACCAGTGTCCATATGGGATGTCAGCACTGAAGGTGGTAACTTGACTCACTGCCTCACAGTGCCAGCCCTTAATTTTCCCTTTTATATCAAAGAATGTAGATTGATATAAATAGAAGTAAAAAAAATTCTCTTTTCCAAATTTAGAGCTGTTTGAAATCTCTCAATTAACTGATCTCTTTCTGATTATATAGTTCCATTTTAGCTTAGGACAGAAGGCAAAAAAAAAAAATCTTACCATGCTCTGAATATAGTTACTAAATTCAGAACCAAAAGTCTACCTACAAATGACTCAAGGCACAAAAATAATTCAAATTTTTACTCAAGACCAAAACTAATAAAATCTTTTATGGTTTTAACCAAGGTCTTCAAAAGAGGAAGCAAAAGATACAGCTCTTTCAAGACTCAGATCATTCTCAAAGTCAGGCAAAAAGAAAGAAGAGTTTAGACAACGCAACATTCGGTACGCCTAACGCTCAGCTGCGAGCGGGATGCAGCGCACGCTTCTCTCTGGCCGTGTTCTTGGGGTTCCCAGCCTTCTGGTTGGCTACCGTCACACGTAGGCCCAGTAACTAGTGTGCCTTCCGGAAATGGAGAAACAAAGCTGTTCCCGGGAGGGGAAATCGCTAGCAAGTGTGTGCCCCCAAAGCCAAGGGCCAGACAGATCACAGCAGGTAACTTAGACGCGTTTTACTCTCCTGAGGAAGGGAATTTACTGAGCAACTGAAGTTGGACGCATATGAGGGCGGGTTTCAATCAGAGACCAACAAGATCTAGTTTAAAGGATTTTAACTTTATTCTAAATCTGCTTTCTGTGTATCTTTTACTTTTCTTTTTGAATTCTTTATTTGTTCACGAGACAGATTTAGACACATTAGGGCTCCCATGTGCTTACTCCCCAAACACCCTCAAACACCTCCTGTTCACCACAGGCTGGGGCAGGATGTGTGTGGGGCTCAAAGCTGGGAGCCAGCAACTCAATCAAGGTCTCCCACGTGGTGGCGGGGTCCCACTTACTTCAGCCATCGCTTCTGCTTTCCTCGGATCCACATTAGCAGGAAACTAGAATCAGGAGCCAAAAGCTAATAACAGACTCAGGCATTCTGTTGTGGGACATAAGTGTTCTTTTTTTTTTTTTTTTTTTTTTTTTAAGATTTATTTATTTGAAAGTCAGAGTTACACACAGAGAGAAGGAGAGGTAGAGGTAGAGGTAAGAGGTAAGAGGTAGAGGTAGAGTCTTCCATCTGCTGGTTCACTCCCTAATTGGCTGCAACGGCCGGAGCTGCACTGATCTGAAGCCAGGAGCTTCTTCTGGGTCTCCCACAAGGTTGCAGGGGCCTAAGGACTTGGGCCATCTTGTACTGCTTTCCCAGGCCATAGCAGAGAGCTGGATTGGAAGTGGAGCAGCCAGGTCTCGAACCAGAGCGCTTATGGGATGCTGGCACTACAAGCAGCGGCTTTACCTGCTATGCCACAGCACTGGCCCCAGGGACATAGGTGTTCTAATCGGCGCCAAACACCTGTGTCTCCCTTGGCATTTCCGTAGGTACCAATGAGACAGTTGTTTAAGATGAAAGGTCTCTAGAAAGTTTTCTTTAGCCAATTTGTTTATTCCCAAAAGAAGAACTAGTTACACATGCATTTTCTTTTGCAAATTTGAAAAGGGAGAAGGGCCACACCCACTCAACAGGCACTTCAAACAGAGGTCTGGGGGAGCTGGCTGTGGGAGAAATTCTTACCTTTGTGTGCTGACTTTCTTGTCACTTGTCTCGGGATTCCAGATGCGGACTCCAAAATGAGCAGAGTGATTTTTTTCCCTGCTAACTCTGCCGCAACTGTAGGAAGGTCAGAACTTTCCCCTGAAGGTGCGATAGTTGAGTCTGCTGAAATCCACTGACAATAGGCCAATCAACAGGAGGAAGGGCATAGGCACGTGTTAATGTGGAAGCACACAGGAATTATGCAAAACAGGACAATGACTAGAACGTAATACTCTCTTCATGGGAGGGACAGTAGGCGATTGTAGAGGACTGACAGGCCCTTTTAAAACTTTGCCCGGGGCCGGCACCGAGGTGGCTCAATAGGCTAATCCTCCACCTGCGGTGCTGGCACACCGGGTTCTAGTTACTCCCGGGAGTGCAGTGGAGGATGGCCCAAGTGCTTGGGCCCTGCACCCGCATGGGAGACCAGGAGAAGCACCTGGCTCCTGGCTTCAGATTGGCGCAGCACGCCGGCCGTAGCAGCCATTTGGGGGGTGAACCAGCAGAAAAGGAAGACCTTTCTCTCTGTCTCTCTCACTGTCCTCTCTGCCTGCCATAAATAAATAAATAATAAAAAAAAAAAAACTTTGCCCGAGGGCAGGCAGGGAAGCAGGAGCAGCGAATCCCATTAGGATGGGGGTGGAGCTTGACACCGGAGGTTGGACCATGTGGCCAGCTGGCTTCCAGCAATGGCAGCGGGGCTAGAGCTGGGATGTCAATCAGGGTGTAGATCACGCCATACATAACACTGAGCCAGTTTCCTGACAAGTGTGTCCAGACAGAACTTCGGCTTTCTGTTTTATTTGTGTGGCACACATCTATGCACATATTTCTTTTAAAAGGAGCGTGCATTATTAATGTAATTTTTTCAGAGGGATGTTTAGTTCAGGAGAACCAATAGCTATTTGACAGTGACTAGATATAGCCTCATAATTTTCAAATGTTCTTTTTCTTCTTCTTTGTCTAACCAAGTAGGTCAAAAACATCATTTAAATAAACACAGGAAACTAAGTCCTGTAATTTCACTTTTTAAAATTATTAGGCTGGAGCTGGCACTGCAGCGTAGCAGGTTAAGGCTCCGCCTGCAGTGCCAGGATCCCATATAGGCACTGCCAGTTTGAGTCCGGCTGCTCCACTTCCAATCCAGCTCCTTGCTAATGGCCTGGGAAGGCAGTAGAAGATGGCCCAAGTGCTTGAGCTCCTGCACCCGTGTGGGAGACCTGGAAGAAGCTCCTGGCACAGCCCCAGCTATAGTGACCATTTGGGGAGTAAACCAGTGGATGGAAGATCTCTCTCTCTGTCTCTCTTTCCATCTCTGCCTTTCAAGTAAGTAAATAAATCTTTAAAAATATTATTAGATTTTATTTCTTTTCAGTAGCTTTAGATTTATGGAAAAATTATAGGAGTACAGAGTTCCTGGATACTCACCTACTGCCTCATATACTTTCCCCTATTATATCTTTATATTTTTATTTATTTTACTTTTTAAAGAATTATTTATTTATTTGAAAGGCAGAGTTAGAGCAATAGCAATCTTCCAACAGTTGGTTCACTACTGAAATGGCCCCAGTGGCTGGGGCTGGGCCAGGCTGAAGCCAGGAGCCGGGAACTCCATCCGGGTCTCCCACATGTGTGGTAAGCGCCCAGATACTCAGGCCCTGTTTTGCTGCTTTCCCAGGCACATTAGCAGGGAGCTGGATCAGAAGCAGAGCAGCTGGGACTTGAGCTGGCACTCATGTGGGATGCCAGTGTCGCTGTTGGCGGCTTAACCCACTGTACCACAATGCCAGCTCCTGTTTGTTTATTTTTGTGTACTTGAAAGGAGGAGCAACACACACAGAGAGAGAAAGAGAGAGAGAGAGAGAGAGAGAGAGAGAGAGAGAGTTATCTTCCAACTGCTGGTTCATTCCCCAAGTGCCCTCAACAGCCAGCCTTGTGCCATGTCTAAGCCAGGAGCTGGACCTCCATCCAGGTCTCCCACCTGGGTAGCAGGGCCCCAAGCAGGGGCCATCATTCGCTGCCTTCCAGGTTGCATTAGCAAGAAGTTGGATTGGAAGCAGAGTTGCTGGGACTCCAAAATAGGATGTGGTGTCCCAGCATAACCTGCTGTGCCTCAACGTCTACCCCATTTCCACTGTTGTTCTTGTATGAATGTGGTACATTTATTAAAATGATCCAGTATATTTTTAAAATAAGACTTTTTTTCTGTTATTATTATTCTTTTTTTATTTTTATTTATGACAGGCAGAGTGGACAGTGAGAGAGAGAGAGACAGAGAGAAAGGTCTTCCTTTGCTGTTGGTTCACTCTCCAATGGCCGCTGCGGCTGGCGCATCGCGCTGATCCGATGGCAGGAGCCAGGTACTTCTTCTGGTCTCCCATGTGGGTGCAGGGCCCAAGCACCTGGGCCATCCTCCACTGCACTCCCGGGCCACAGCAGAGAGCTGGCCTGGAAGAGGGGCAACTGGGACAGAATCTGGCGCCCCGACCGGTACTAGAACCTGGTGTGCCGGCGCCGCAAGGCGGAGGATTAGCCTGGTGAGCCACAGCGCCGGCCTCTGTTATTATTATTGAGAGGTGGAGAAAACTGTTACCCACTGGTTCACTCCCCAGATGCCCACAACCACAAGGATTGGACTGGACTGAAACTAGAAGCAAGCAACTCAATCCAAGCCTCCCATATAGGTGACAGGCACCCAACTTCTTGAGCCATCTCCACTGCTTCTCAGGTCTGTGTTAGCAGGAAGCTGGGGTCAGGAGCTGGAGGCAGGTATCAAACTCAGCCGCTCCAGTACAGATTGTGGGCATCTCAGCTGCCAGGCCAACACCTGCCTCATGACCCAGTGTTAATATGTTATTATTCACGCGTGTATAACACATGTGTCAACTACTGTGTCCTGTGGAGTGATTTCACTGCCCTCTTCATTCCTCCCTTTAATCCCCCTCAGGCCCTTGGTGAACACTCACCCTCCTGCTGTCTCCAGTGGTTTGCCTCTTCCTGTTGTTGGCGTCACATGGCGTGTGGTCTTTTCTGATTGACTTCTTTCTCACAGCAGTATGCATGTACAGTTTTTTGTAGTTTCACAGTTCATTTCTTTTTTCTTTTTTTGACTGAATCCTCATTTCTTTTTATCACTGGATAAATATTTTTTGGTTTGGATCTGCTGATTAGTTTATGCATTCATCAATTGAAAGACATTTGGCTGCTTCCAATTTTTGGCAATTATGAGTAAAGCTGCTGTAAACATTAATGTACAGGTATCTGGTGGACATAAGTCTTCAGCTCCTTTGGGTAAATACCAAGGAGCAAGGTTGCTGGATAATGTGAAGAGAGTATGTTAGATTTCTAAGAAGCTGCCAGCTGACTTTCAAAGAGACCATACCATTTTGCATTCTCACCAGCAGTTGAATGAGCGTTCCTATTGCTCCAAATCCTTGCTAACATTTTGTGTCAGTATCCTGATTTTGGCCATCCTAATAGGTGTATAATGGCATATAAAGACATGATATTGAACGTATTTCCATGTGCTTATTCACCATCTATATGTCTTCTTTTGTGAGGTGTCTGTTAAGCTCTTTAGCCCATTTTTTAATTGAGTTCATGTTACTGCTGAGTTTTGAGGTTTTATTTCATATATTTTAGATACATGTAAGGATACTTCAAAATGTTCATGGAAAAATGGAATTGAAAACTAAATTAATTTTAGTGAAAACAACTTTTAAATCCATACACATGGGCTGGCCTTGTGGGGCAGTAAACTAAGCTGCTGCTTGTGAAGCTGGAATCTCACTTTTTAAAAATATTTATTTTATTTGAAAGAGTTACAGAGAGAGGGAGAGACAGAGAGGTTTTCTGTCCACTGGTTCACTCCCCAGATGGCCACAGCCACTGGAGCTGAGCTGATCAGGAGCCACAAGCTTCCTCCAGGTCTCCCACATGGATGCAGGGGCCCAAGGACTGGGCCATCCTCCATTGCTTTCCCAGGCCTACCAGTAGGGAGCTGGATCAGCAGTGGAACAGCTTGGACTTGAACCGGTGCCCATGTGGGGTACCGGCACTGTAGGCCAAGGTTTTAACCTGCTGTACCACAGCACCAGCCCCTGGAATCCCCACTTTGAGTGCTGATTAATATCCTGGCTGATCCTTGCTTCCGAATTGGCTTCCTGCTAATGTGCCTGGGGAGACAATGGTGATAGCCCAAGTACTTGGGCTGTTGCCAATCATGTAGGAGACCAAGATGGAGCTCCTGGCTTCAGCCTGGCCCAGACTTGGCTTTTTGTGGCCATTTGGGGAGTGAACCAGTAGATGGAAGGTCTCTCTCCCTCTGGGTGTCACTCTGTCTCTTAAATAAATAAATAAATCTTTAGAAAAGAAAAGAAATTCATGCTTGATGTTTTCATAATACACATTTCCCTCGATCTTTGAAGATCCCACCTATTCTTTATTGGATATGTGTTTTTCAGACTGTTTCGTAGTCTGTAGCTTGTCTTACCATTTTCTCAGCAATGTCTTATCTTTTTTAAAAAATTTATTTATTTACTTGAAAGGCAGAAATACAGAGAGAGGAAACCCTCTATGTCATAGCACTGCACCCCCATTAAAAAGATTTATGTATTTATTTGAAAGGCAGAGGCACAGAGAGAAGGAGAAGGGGGGAAAGAGAGAGAGATTGTCCATCTGCTGGTTCACTCCCCAAATGGCCACAACAACCAGAGCTGGGCAGACTGAAGCCAGGAGCTTCTTCCAGGTCTCCCACATGGGTGGCAGGGGCCCAAAGACTTGGGCCATCTTCTACTGCTTTCCCAGGTGCATTAGTAGGAAGCTGGATCAGAAGTGGAACAGTCAGGGCCGGCGCCACGGCTCACTAGGCTAATCCTCCGCCTAGCGGCGCCGGCACACCAGGTTCTAGTCCCGGTCGGGGCGCCGGATTCTGTCCCGGTTGCCCCTCTTCCAGGCCAGCCCTCTGCTGTGGCCAGGGAGTGCAGTGGAGGATGGCCCAGGTGCTTGGGCCCTGCACCCCATGGGAGACCAGGATAAGTACCTGGCTCCTGCCATCGGATCAGCGCGGTGCGCCAGCCGCAGCGCGCTGGCCGTGGCGGCCATTGGAGGGTGAACCACCGGCAAAGGAAGACCTTTCTCTCTGTCTCTCTCTCTCACTGTCTACTCTGCCTGTCGTCAAAAAAAAAAAAAGAAGTGGAACAGCCAGGACTTGAACTGGCATCCATATGGGATGCTAGCATTGTAGGCAGAGGCTTAATCTATGCAACAGTGCTGGCCCTGCAATATCTTTTTACAAAGCAAAAGTTTTTAAGTTTAAGGAAGTTCAGTTTACCAGTTTTTTCTTTCATAGAGTGTACCTTTGGTATTTATAAAGTTACTACCTAACAACATCTAGATTTTTCTCCTGTGTTATCTTCTGGGAGTTTCATAGTTTTGTGTTTTACTTGTAGATCTATGTAATTTTTTAAAAAATTATTTATTTGACAGAGATAGAGCTACCCTCTGCTATTTCACTTCCCAGTGTCCACAGTGGCCCCCAACTGGGGCTGAGGCTGGGAGCCAGGAACTCTATTCAGGTCTTCCATGTGGGTGGCAGCCATCTAGTCACTTGAGCCATCGCCATTGCCTCCCACAGTGTGCATTAGCCAGAAGCTGAAGTCAGGAGCTGAATTTGGGTATGGAACTCAGGGGCTCTCACATGGGATGCAGGCATCTAAACTGTTATCTTAACTGCTAGATCAAGTGCCTGTCCTTATGATCTGTTCTGAGTTAAATTTTGTGAAGGATGTCAGCTCTGTTTTGATTCAATTTTTGCATGTGGATATCCAGTTGTTCAACACCATTTGTTGAAAATACTCTAAAAGTAAACTCTATTTATTTATTTAGAGAGGCAGAGTGACAGAGAGGGAGAGACAGAGAAATAGGAAGACCTTCCATCTATTGGTTCACTCTCCAAATGCTTGCAACAGTTAGGTCTGGGCCAGGAGGCCAAAACTCAATCCAGGACCCAACTCCTAGAGCCATCACCTGCTGCCTGCTGGGGTGCAGGTTCACAGGAAGCTGGGACTGGGAGATGAGCCAGGACTCCAGTATGGGTGAGGGTACCCCAAGGGGCATCTCCATAGCTATGCCAAATGCCTGCCTCCACACTCTGCTTTCTGAATTGAATTGCCTTTGCCCTTGTACTTTTCAAGGAGAGCAAAACAAAGCTAGTGCCCACATTGTAGTGCGCAGTGGGTTAAATTTAAGTTTGCAGTGCCAGCATCCTGTATTGAAATGCTGGTTCAAGTCCTAGGGGCTCTGCTTTTGAGCTGGCTCCCTGCGAATGTGCCTAGGAAAGCAGCAAGAGCTGATCCAAGTATTTGGGCCCCTGCCACCAGATGGGATACTGGAGTTCTGGGTTTCTGGCTTCCACCTGGCCCAGTCCTGGCTGTTTTGGCCATATGGGGTGTGAACCAGAAAATGGGAGATCTTACTCTGTCTCTCCCTCTTTCTCTGGTACTCTGCCTTTCAAATAAATAAAAAATAAATCTTTAAAATAAAAACAAACCAACACTGATCTTTCTGTCTCCCATGACTGGATTAGATGGTGGTGCCACTGAGTGGGAATACAAGAGAAATAGGTTGGATGGAGTTGGCAGTGAATTCAATTTTAGACCAGCTAATTTGGAAGTATCTGTGGCTATTTTGGAGTCATAAAAGAAGGAAACTCTTTTCCTATATTTTAGGAGCATAAGAAAATGAAAGGTTGAATTCAAAACCATATATACACACACATAAGTGGAAACTAAGTCATGCACCTAAGCTAGAGGCACAATCTGTGTTAAAACTCAGCCTGATCTTTCTCTATGTTGGTTTTTTTCTACTACACAGAAAGGGTTGCTTTGGAATCATGAGGGTCCCTTCTGAAGCCCTTGGAATGCAAATCTAACCCCGGCTTGTTAAAGTCTTCTGCCATCCAAACATAGTTTCTGGTCTTTCTCTCTCAGTATAATTTTTAACCACATTAAAATGCTATTTGGGGTTTGGGAGATTATGACCCTATATCAGTTTTGGAGGAGAGAGAGTAATTTGCTCATTTAACCCTCTTTCAGTGTGGAAGGCAAGGTCAAGGAGACAATGCACAATGCCTTTTGGGACCATCTTAAAGAACAGCTGTCAGCCTCTCCCCCTGATTTCAGTTGTGCTCTTGAACTTCTGAAAGAAATTAAAGAGGTGAGTAACCTTTCTTGCATTTGTAGGCCTGGAGTTCCTAGACGTCCTCAGCTCACTGGAGTGCCCACGGTTAATAAAGATCAGTGTGTGATTGACGAGTCAGCCAGAGTCTAAGCAGTAGAGAAACCACACAGTAATTTGAACAGGGAAGATTTAGTATAAAAAGTAGTATCACGTGGAGTTGGAGAAATGAGGGCTTCGCTAGTAGGAAATAAGACATTGCTAATGGATCCTGGAATGTAAGGATCGTGTGTCATAGTCCTGGGACAGTGCAGAGCACCCAAGGGCTTCACCTGAGCGGGCGTGGCTATGCCGAGGGGAATTGCTGGTCGGTGTGTGCCGCCGACCACTGCACTGCAGAAGCTGAGCACTGGAGAACTCGCTCATGCTGTGGGAGAGGAGTAAACCTGGCAGATGAGCCTGCCAGAACCAGAAAGCAAAGCAGCTGTCTTTTATAGAGTCTTCTAGTGTGTGGCAGACGTGTCTTGTCCCACAGTGATTCATACTCTTTATTATTGTCTCTTGAGGATGAATGAGATCTGCCACAGGCTTCTAAGCACATAGTATGGAAAAGGTGATGGAATATTACTCCCGTGATTGGATTTCATATCTAAGACTCATTTTAGCAGACTGTTAAGTGTGCCTTTCTGTTGTCCTCAGCCAAAACCTCAGCTGGCTATGGTTGAGTGACCCAAATATTCATTCATTTTTATTAATTTTTATAATTGGATTTTTAAAAAGATTTATTTATTTGAAAGAGCTATAGAGAGAGGTAGGGACAGAGAGAGAGAGAGAGAGAGAGAGAAAGAGAGAGAGAGAGGTTTTCCATCTGCTGGTTCACTCCCCAAATGGCAGCAATGGCTGGAGTTGAACCAATCCGAAGTCAGGAGCCAGGAGCTTCTTTCGAGTCTCCCACATGGGTGTAGGAACCCAATGACTTGCGCCATCTTCTGCTTTTCCAGGGCTTAGCAGAGAGCTGGATTGGAAGAGGAGCAGTCAGGATTAGAACCGGTGCCCATGTGGGATGCCAGCGCTTCAGGCCAGGGGTTTAAATCCACTACATCACAGAACTGGCCCCTACTATTGGGTTTTGTAGTACTCAGAAGCACCCCAGAGAATCTCCTGGGCTCCAGGCACAGTCCTTGTTCTCATTGTGTAGCAACAATCTAATTTCTCCTTAGTACTTAGGATCAGTTACTCCAGTCACTAGAATAACTCATTTAAAAAATTTTTTAAAAGATTTATTTATTCATTTGAAAGAATTAGAAAGATCTTCCACCTGCTGGTTCACTCCCCAAGTGGCTGCAGTGGCCAGGCCAGAGCCAGGCTGAAGCCAGAGGTTTTATCTGGGTCTTCCACATGGGTGGCAGGGGCCCAAGCACTTGGGTCATTTTCCAAGGTCATTATCAAGGAGCTGAATCAGAAGTGGAGTAGATGAGACATGAATTGTTGTTGCCCATCTGGGATGCAGGTAGTGGCTTTATCCACTATGCCACAATACCACCCCACCCCACCCCCCATTTTTAAAATTTATATTCAAGGGCCGGCGCCGCGGCTCACTAGGCTAATCCTCCGCCTAGCGGCGCCGGCACACCGGGTTCTAGTCCCGGTTGGGGCGCCGGATTCTGTCCCGGTTGCCCCTCTTCCAGGCCAGCCCTCTGCTGTGGCCAGGGAGTGCAGTGGAGGATGGCCCAGGTGCTTGGGCCCTGCACCCCATGGGAGACCAGGAAAAGCACCTGGCTCCTGGCTCCTGCCATCGGATCAGCGCGGTGCGCCGGCCGCAGCGCGCCGGCCGCGGCGGCCATTGGAGGGTGAACCAACAGCAAAAGGAAGACCTTTCTCTCTGTCTCTCTCTCTCACTGTCCACTCTGCCTGTCAAAAAAAAAAAAATTTATATTCATTCTGTTTGAAAGGCAGAGAGACAGAGACAGACGGAGATGTCTTCCATCTGCTGGTTCACTCTCTATTTGTCTTCAACATCCAGGGCTTTTGCTGAGCTGGGCTGACGTACCCAGAACTCAGTCTGGGTCTCCTACACTGTTGGCAGGGATCCAAGTACTCAAGTTGTCACCTGCTGCTTCCCAGGATATATGTCAGCAGGAAACTGGATTGGAAGCAGAGCCAGGACTCAAACCCAGGCACTCTGATATGGAGTGTGATATCCCAGCTGGCGTCTTAACTGCTGTGCCGAATACTTATCCCAGTAGCTTCTTTTTCACCTTGCTGTTTCAGTGGTTTAAGGAGTCCAAAATAGGGCTGGTGTTGCAGTGCAGCAGGTTAGGCTGCCACCTGCACTGCTAGCATCCCATATAATTGCTGGTTTGATCCCTGGCTGCTTCGCTTCCAATCCAGCTCCCTGCTGATACACCTGGGGAAGCAGCAGAAGATGGCCCAAGTACATCTTTCAAGTGGAAGATTTATCTGTCTTTCCCTCTCTCTGTGTACTCTGCCTTTCAAAAAGAAAATAAATCTTAAAAAGGAGCTCAGGAGCTGGCGCTGTGGTGTAGTAGGCTAAGCCTCCGTCTGCAGTGCTGGCATCCCATATGGGCGCTGGTTTGTGTTCTGGCTGCTCCTTTTCTACTTATGGCCTGGGAAAGCAGTGGAAGATGGCCCCCAAGTGGGAGACCCAGAGGAAGCTCCTGGCTTCGGATCAGCACAGCTCTGACCGTTGCAGCCATTTGGGGAGTGAACCAGCAGTTGAAGACGTTTCTCTCTCTCCCTCTCTCTATGACTCTGCCTCTCAAATAAATAAAATCTTTTTTTTTAATGGAGCTCAAAATAAGTGGCAGTTTCATATTCTAATTCGTTGGAACCAGTGTCAATGTTTTCCCCAAAATCAGCAGCACTGACAATTGATAGGATGGGGAACAGAAGATCTTCAAATGGGTCATTCGGTGCATTAGAGCAACCAGTTCTGCCTCCAGTCCTTGACTGCTGGACCCTTGGGGCGTAGCACCTAGGATGGTCTTTGATACATCCTTAAGACAGAGCCCCTTCCTTGCAGATATTATTGCTCATTGAGGTCATTGAGTCTTCAGCGGCCATTCCACTTCCCAGATAGGCCAGCTGATACTCGGGGGTGTTGCTTAGACCTGGTACTCCCGTGGGTGGGATCCGTTGCTGTACTTTGCTGTGAAGTGAGTGCCTTCATCAGCTGTGATGCTGGGGGCACGCCAGGACCAGGACGATGGATTAGGCATTGTGTGACTGTACAGAGGGTGGTGTGGACAGAACCACTGCAGACAGGGGAGACAAATTCATGTCCAGAATCTGCTTTTCAATGAGGGTGAATCTCTACCCGCTGTAAAGTCCAGAAGGGGTCCAGGGAAATCGCCTGCCACCAGGTAGTGGCCGGTCCTGCAGAATGGGCCTTACTGGAGGCTGAGTTCTATGTTTGTTTGTTTGTTTTTTTGAGGATTTTTTTTATTCTGGTAAAATATATGTAACATAAAATTTATTATTTTCAAGTATACAATTCAGTAGCATTAAGTATTCACAGTATTGTGCCTGTCACCACTATCCATTTCTAAGTTATCATCTTCCCAAACAGAAACTCTGCCTATTAAGCAATAATTCCTCTTTCCCCTGTCCTCCTGGTGGCTGATAACCTCTACTGCTGGTCTCTATGAATTTGACTTCTCTATGTAACTCATGTAAGTGGAATAATACAGTATTTGCCCTTTTGTATTGGGTTTATGTCACTCAGCCTGTTTTCAGAGTTCATCCATGTTGTAGCAAGTATCATAATCTGGTTTCTCTTTATGGCTGAATAATTTTCCATTATGGGGATAAGGTCATGTTTTGTTTATCCATTCATTTTCTGGACACCTGTGTTGTTTCTACCTTTTGGTTGTGAATAATGCTGCTATAAACATTGGCATACACTTACTGTTTCAGTCCCTGTTTCCAGTTCAAGCACGTACCTAGAGTGGATCATGTGGTCAATCTGTGTCTTCTTGAGGAGCTGCCAAACTGTTCTAATTGTGCCATTTTCTATTCCTCCCAGCAGTGTACCAGGGTTCCAGTTTTTCCACTTCCTTGCTAATACTTGTTATTTTCCACTTTTTTTGGTTAATAGCCAGCCATTCTTAGAATAAGTGTGAAGTGATATTTCATTGTGGTTTCAACTTGCATTTCCTTAATGGCTAATGATGTTGAGCCATTTATTTATATGCTTATTGACCATTTGTATATATTCTTTGAAGAAATGTTTACTCAAGTCTTTTTCCCATTATAAAATTGGGTAGTTTGTCTTCTTGTTGTTGACTTACAAGAGTTCTTTATATATTTTGTATGCTATGCTCTTGTCAGATATATGATTTACAAGTATTTTCTCCCAGTCTGTAGGTAGTCAACTTTCTCAGTTATGTTGTTTGATGTACAAAAGTTTTAATCTTTTTTAAATATTTATTTTTTATTTATTTGAAAGTCAGAGTTACACAGAGAGAGAAGGAAAGGCAGAGAAAGAGAGGTCTTCCATCCACTAGTTTACTCCCAAATTGGCTGCAATGGCCAGAGCTGTGCTGATCTGAAGCCAGGAGCCAGGAGCTTCTTCCGGGTCTCCCACACGGGTGCAGGGGCCCAAGGACTTGGGCCATCTTCTACTGCTTTCCCAGGCCATAGAAGAGAGCTGGATTGGAAGTGGAGCAGCTGGGACTTGAACTGGCGCCCATAAGGGATTCCAGCACTGCAGGTGGCGGCTTTACCCACTATGCCGCAGCACCGGCCCCTAGTTTTAATTTTGATGAAGTCCAATTTATTTAGCTTAATTTTGGTTTCTTATGCTTTTGGTGTCATATATTGCCAAAACCAAGATTGCAGACATTTATACCTATGTTTTTTAAAAAGTTCTATTTCTTTTGAAAGAGAGATCAATCTGTGCTAATTTACTCCCCAGATGGCCACAACAGCCAGAGCTGGGCCAGGAGCTTCCTCTGGCTCTCCTCCGTGGGTGGCAGGGGCCCAAGCACTTGGACCATCTTCTGCTTCTTTTCCTGAGGTCTTAGCATGGAGCTGGGTAGAAGTAGAGCAGCCAGGACACAAACCTGTGCCCATATGGGATGCCAGCGCTGCAGGCGGTGAGTTTACCTGCTGTGCCACAACACTGGCCCCTCCTGTGTGTTCTTTTAAGATCATCATAGCTTTATCTCTTACGTTTATCTCTTTGCTCTATTTTGAATTAATTTTTAAAATATGGTATAACATAAAGGTTCCAGCTTCATTATTTTGCGTCATACCCAGTTTCCCCATTACCATCTGTTGAAAAGACTGTTCTCCACTGAATGTTCTGGGCACTGTTGTTGAAGATCATTTGACCATATATCCAGGTTTAATTTCAGGGCTCTGTTTTGTTCTGTTGGTCTGTGTATCTGTCCTTATACCAGTGTGCTTGGTTGCTTGGTTCATTTAATGATAGATTGAGTCACAGCTTCCTGATGGGAACTCTGGGCCACTTGATGTCCAATGGTAATGTGTTAGCTCCTGCGAAGGGCCAGTAGTAAGCCAGAGGCTATTTCTCAAAGAACTTTCTCAATTCATCTGCAGAGAGAGCACACATTTTCTCCCAAACCCTTGAAGTCTGTGTTGTGATTCTCTGAGCTGTGCAGCGTCCTTGCTCGCCGTGGTACAGCCTGCCTCTGTTGGGTCATGGCCTGAATGGCAGAGTGGCCGGGCCGCGGTCTGCACTTGCTGCAGCAAGTACTCTTGCTCTAGTACCTATTTGAAACTGGTAACCTGATGAGTGATTCTAAATAAGTGTTGAAGTAACAGACTCCAGTGTGGTGTATGTTGTCTCCGACGTCTAAAAGGCCAACCCGTGGGGAGTGGTTTGGGGAACAGCAGTCTGTTGTCATCGTGGAGGGGACAGCTAGACAAGTTCCAGAGCACTTTAGCTCCAGAAACCTCTCCGAGGCGACAGACTGCTGACTTTTCATGAGGATTACCTGCCATCCTTTGGTTCGCATATCTGGAGTATCTCAAAAGCTTCCACTTCCTGCTCACTGGATCCAGTATGACCAGCTGAGTTCAGACATCGTTCATAGCGCCAATTTTTTATCGGTCCGAGTCCAGTCAAGAGACAGAAACAAGACAGTGTGATGAGCAAAGAGAAGCTTCCACGATGCAAGAGCTCGGAGAGAGGAGCACACGAAAGCCGGGAAGGTCTCTACTTACTTCCATGTTTCTTTAGCAACCTCCACGGACAAAACTGAACAGTGTGCCAATCAGCAAAGGAAAAATATGCCAAAGGCCTGGTTTCATTTCTTTCTTTTTCTTTTTTTTTTTCTCTCTCTCTTTAAGATTTGTTTATTTGAAAGGCACAGTTAGAGGGAGATACACAGAGATCTTCCATCCTCTGATTCACTCCCCAGATGGCTACAGCACCTGGGGCCAGGAGCTTCTTCCAGGTCTCCCACCAGGTGCAGGGGCCCAAGCACTTGGGCCATCTTCTACTGCTTTCCCAGGCCATAGCAGAGAGCTGGATTGGTAGTGGAGCAGCCAGGACTCAAACTGGCACCCATGTAGGATGCTGGCGCTGCAGGTGGCGGCCTTACCGGCTGTGCCACAGCGCCGGCCCCTGGTTCCACTTTCCGAGGAGGCAGTAAGGGCAGGTTTGTACTGAGAGGCTCCAGACTGGTAACTGGCGTAGCTTACAGTTAGCATGGACAGTACAGAGCAGCTGAGTTGTTTAACGCAACGCTGAACAGTGGGGTCCTGCCGTGACTACACACCATTCCATTCACTTACACAAATATTCATGAACCCCACTCCCTAGCATTGCTGGGGTTGGTGTGTTACAGAGGCAAAGTGGCAAATAAGAGTCCCTGTCCACCAGAAAATTATATTTTTGGGCTAATAGGCTATTTGAAGCGACTCATAATAATTCCTTTGTCTATTTCATCCTTGCCCTTTGAAGTAAAATAATCTCAAAATGCTTTATAAAATTAACAGTATCTCATCACCATGTGATGATGTATATTTTGTATTTGTTGGACCCTGCATTTCTTTTTATTATACTCCTTGAATATTATTAACCTCTTTTATCTCATTCTGCCTAGAGAATGATACATTATTACTGTAATTTATTTTCTTCAACTTTGAATTACCATTGGCCTCTAAGCAAAGATAAATAAAATTCTGTAGGAAAATTAGGGGTCTAACTTCTCTTTTAAATACATTTTATTTTAAATTGACACATGGTAATTGTACATATTTATGGGGTACAGTTGACATTGCTATGCATGTTTACATTGTGTAATGATCTGATCAGGGTAATTGCATATCTAACACCTCAAACATTGATTGTTTCTTGTGTTGGGGATCCAACTTCTTGATCCTTAAAAGATACAGGCTTGGACTGGTGCCGCGGCTCACTAGGCTAATCCTCCACTTTGTGGCGCTGGCACACCGGGTTCTAGTCCCGGTCGGGGCGCCGGATTCTGTCCCGGTTGCCCCTCTTCCAGGCCAGCTCTCTGCTGTGGCCAGGGAGTGCAGTGGAGGATGGCCCAAGTGCTTGGGCCCTGCACCCCATGGGAGACCAGGAGAAGTACCTGGCTCCTGCCTTCGGATCAGCGCGGTGCGCCGGCCGCGGCGGCCATTGGAGGGTGAACCAATGGCAAAGGAAGACCTTTCTCTCTGTCTCTCTCTCTCACTCTGCCTGTCAAAAAAAAAAAAAAAAAAGATACAGGCTTGGAGTGTCCCTGGCAGCAGCCATACCTTTGCAGTGATAGAATAATGAATTACTGTAGTGACAGTAAACCAGAGTTTATTAAAGCACATTCCACAAGAGAAACAGGCCAGTCAGGAGAGCGTGTGGCATCCTTCCTTCCTGGTTTGAGGCTTTTATCCCTAAAGTATCATGGGTGTTGACTGATGATGTAGCCATGACACTCGTGATTGGCATTTGTGATTGACAGCTGGGAGTTACAAACCTTTGGGCTCTCTGCACATGTAGCTATTAACTAGGCTTTTCTGATTTGGCTGAAATCCCATTTTATCAGGATACTTTAATCACAAGTTGAACTGCAAGGTGGGCAGCTTTGGTGAGTCCCGGTGCAGGCTGGGTCCTGGGTTTCACCCCTGGGAGAAGGGTTTGTGGCCCGTCCCCAGTGACTCATATCTTCTGTTGCCTGACAGGATGTCTGTAGGTAAAGGGGTTGCCCATTAGAGAAAGTTTGGAGCACTAAACAGAATACAACTTCTTCTCTGACTGTTTCCTGGGCAGATCTTGCTGTCTCTACTCTTACCACGCCAGAACCGCCTGAGAAGTGAGATCGAAGAAGCTCTGGATATGGACTTCCTCAAGCAGGAAGCAGAACATGGGGGCCTGGATGTCCCTTATCTTTCCAAGTACATTCTCAACATGATGACTTTGCTGTGTGCACCAGTTCGAGATGAAGAAGTGCAGAAACTAGAGAACATTGCAGATCCTGTTCGGTTACTGAGGTGTGAAAGTTGATTACTGCCCACCCCACCCCAAACCTGTCTCAGCCCCTGGGCCAGGAAAAGCTGGGTCAGACACAGGATTATAGCCATTGTCTTGACTGAAGACCTGACTAACACCCCTTTTCTCCTCTCTGGCCTATTGGCTTTTCTTTTACAAAAATGGTTTCGAAGAGACTTTTGGTTATTCTTGTATTAATTGGGCCCTCCTTTATATCATGCTGCGTAAGACACTGGAATACATTATTATTTCTTCCAAGGAATGAAAACATCTCTTTCCCAGGTTCTCTCTCTTAAACTTTTTAGATTTATTTATTTATTTGATTTATTTGAAGGAGTTAGAGAGATTTTCCATCTGCTGGCTCAGGCTGAAGCCAGGAGTCCCATCTGGGTCTCCTTTATGGGTTGCAGAGAACCAGATACCTGGACCATCCTCCACTGCTTTTCCCAGGCCATTATCAGGGAGCTGGGTTGGAAGTAGAGTAGCTGGGACATGAACTGGTGCCTATTTGGGGCACTGGCATCACAGGCGGTGGCCCCACTTGCTATGCCACAATGCTGGCACCAGATTTTCTCTTGTCCTAGTTCACAACCCATGAGGGGACAGGTTTTGGGAGGTCATTCCCATTTCACAGCTATAGGAATCAAGACCCAGAAAGTTAAAAAAAAATGCAGTTGTCCCAGTGAGTCAGAAGGAGCAACATCTATGATCCCATTCCCCAAAGAGAACTGTTAACATGGTATATTTCCTTCCACTGATTACCCCTTTTAAGAGACAACAGAATGACCGCAGTGAAACAGAGACTTTTTCTGACCCCAGTTCTGCCACTAACTGATTCTGGTCCTTGTCATGTATGAATGTAGGAGCAGGATGAAGTTAGTTTTGAGCCCCCAATTCTAGAAAGCAGTGGTTTAGTGACTGTACCCTACAAGTAGGCACAATATTTCCCGGAGTAGGTAAGCATTCCATTTCCCCTGTCCAGAGGGATCTTCCAGGTTCTGGGCCTGATGAAAATGGACATGGTGAACTACACTATCCAGAGCCTTCAGCCCCGCCTACAGGAGCATTCCATTCAGTATGAGCGGGCTAAATTCCAGGAACTCCTCAACAAACAGCCTGGTATGTATGGAGCATGAGGGCGGGAGTGGGAAGATAGGACCTTGAGTCTGACTTTTAGGATGTTACGGAGTAGTCTGCCTCATTTTAGGAATAGTTTCTTCCTTGGGTAAGGGGAGGGAAGAGAGAAGACCCCCCAAAGCATTTCCTTATTGAACAGGAGGGTATCTGGGGAAGAACCTGTGTCTCGAAGCCACAGAGATAGAAGACTGAAGACACTCACACGCTGCCTTCCCTGTCCTAGGCCTCCTGGATCACACCACCAAATGGCTGACCCAAGCGGCAGCAGACCTCACCACACCCCCTCCCTCTTGCCCTGACACCCCTGACGCCTCCGGTGTGGCTGGCACCTCTTCACGTGAAGCAATCAACAGCCCAGAGCCCGTCAGCCCTGCGATGGTGCTGTCCCAGGGCTTCCTGAACCTCCTCCTCTGGGACCCTGAAAATGAGGAGTTCCCCGAGGTAGGAGAGCGTGCGCGTCGCTTTGGTGTGTATTGAGCTTCTGTCAGGACCCTTCTGTCCTGACAGCCTGGTCTTGCCTGGTTCCCAGACCCTGCTGACGGACAGAACTCGGCTGCAGGAGCTGGAGTCCCAGTTGCACCAGTTAACCATCCTGGCCTCCGTCTTGCTGGTGGCCAGTAGTTTCTCTGGCAGCGTTTTGTTTGGCTCCCCCCAGTTTGTGGATAAACTGAAACGCATAACCAAATCCCTGATGGAGGAATTTAACTCCAGGTAAGCAGCTTAGATGTTAATTCTTAGAGTAGAAGGTGATGATCTGTGTATTTAGGATACAGGCATACAGTGAATGATTGCTTCCTCTCCACCACAAACCACACAAAGGCCCTTTGCACCCAGCCACAAAGAATGTTGGATGCTTTCTGTAAGAGGTGTTACGGCTTGTGACAGAGAAAGATAAAACTTTCTTCCAGCAAGGTAGTGTGGAGGATGGTTTGCTCCAACAGTCATTATCCAGTTGAGTGGATGACTGCAGGCTAATGTTCGTATATGTCCAAGAGTGGCTCAGTCAGCAACACTGGCTGAGCTACTACTGAGTACAAGTCATCACACCTAAGAAAAAAGCAATCAGAAGGCCAGGTTTGTAATTGTAATTGATGAGGTAGGACAAAAGACCATGGCAGATGTCTAAAATAGTTGTAGATATGTGTATATAAAAGTCAGTGGGACTAAAGAATACTGAGTGGATCCAACGGCATAACTAAACCCTTTTCTAGAGTTTGATATTACAGTTTATCTTGTTTTCTAAGTAGAACCATTGTACCATATATACAGACAGACTAGCTGGTGTCTTGAGGGTAACAGTAGACACTGTACCTGCCCACTGGGTACAGTGCTGTTGGGGGCCGGGGGCTGGGCATGGGGAGGATGGCTGTGGCTCTCCCTCGGATGGGCCTCGCTTCTGGTGTGGAGCTTCCTTGACTCTGGACCTGTGACATGGCTGCCAGATAGGTGCCAGCTTCTTCTCTTTCGTGGTCTAGGCCTGAGGAGGCTATGCTGACTGTGAGTGAGCAGGTGTCTCAGGAAATCCATCAAAGCCTCAAGAATATGGGCCTTGTTGCCCTGAGCAATGACAACACAGCATCTCTGATAGGACAGCTCCAGAACATTGCCAAGAAGGAGAACTGTGTCCGCAGTGTCATTGGTGAGCATGCCTGTAGGGTGGGGAGCACACTGGAGGGAGAGAGAGATGCCAACCTTGGAAGTCAGTTGCTGAACTGACAGTAAAGGCATGGTCGTTGGGCAAGTCACTGTTTAGCCTTTAGTTTTTTCAAGATGCTGGGTTGAAAACATTTTCCTTTTGTTCTGTAGACTAAAGGAAGATCTGTACCCAGGAACCCATGACTACTAAGTGTGGGAGACTGTTCAGCCCACCTGGTTAAGTCATCCTGGCCTGTTAGTCATTCTCTGAATGCAGTTCAAAATATTCGGCAACCCGCACCCACAGCCCTCTAACAAGAAAGTGATACTGAATTAGGCTGAAAAATATGTTCCAATAGTAGGGACTGCCTTATCCTATATTGGAATGGAGGCCATGAACTTGGCCAGTTTGTTCCTAACCTCAACCATCTGAAAGATCATTCCAAGATCTTGTTATGTTGGATACTCACCAGGATCTAACTGACGGCTACGTAAGCAGCCTTGAGAATTGCCAGAAGTTTACTAACCCATTAGTTTTTTTATCTTTGCCTTGGCCTTGAGAGCTAGGAAACGATCCCTTCCCCAACAAAACACATTTCGTTATCTGTAGGTGGTCCAGGTGGTTGGCAAATGTCTCAGTTAACTTAGAATGTGAATGAACAGAGTGCGAGTGCGGTGTTTCTTCCCAAATCTGTCCTTTCCTTTCTCACTGTCTTTCATACAGATCAGCGGATCCATTTGTTTCTCAAATGCTGCTTGGTTCTCGGTGTGCAGCGGTCTCTGTTAGACCTTCCAGGAGGCCTCACTCTCATTGAGACAGAGCTGGCGGAATTAGGCCAAAAGTTTGTCAGCCTGACACATCACAATCAGCAGGTGTTTGGCCCCTACTACACTGAGATCCTGCAATCCCTCATATCCCCAGCCCAGGCACTGGAAACAAAAGTGGAGTCTCCCTGATAGCACCAGTCCAGAGACCTTGCACGTTGGACCCAGAAGAGGGACCCACCGTCTTCCTGGGACAACATCGCCAGTGACGCGCAGAGCAGAGAGCCTCTCCCCGCCCCCGCAGCCAGTACAGCAGGGCTGTAGGGATCAAGCATGTAGATACCAGCTGGCCCAAACCCATTCACCAATAAACGTGTGAACTGCAAGAAAACCTCCATTCTTCCTGTGCTGCGGCTGAGGCTGGGCCCTATGTCCTCAGCCCCCAACTAGCTGAGAGCCAGCAAGCCCGGCTTTCCTTTCTCTGGCTGCATGCGCCCTTAACATGCAAGGATGCGTGGCCGAGACACCAGGTGGTAGCATTATTGTCTCTAGAACTCTGTGGAATTATCCCAGCCGTGAATATAAAGGCTTCTCTAGGAAGCCTTTCGTGTCCAGTTAGCTCAGGAGGGGACATGCCTTGCATCAGCTTCTGGTCCTGCTCTCTGGCGCGGTAAGTGGGGTTCCTTCCCGGCCTCTGCTCTGGGGTTGGGGCACCTTGTCCTGCGTGGCAGAGGGGACAGGGGCGTTCTGAGGTGCCTGGGCAGGTGCAGTTGTCAGTCTGACTTGGCAACACGAATGAGAGACGCTCTGGGAAGGACCTGGGTGTGTCCTGGGCTTGCAGAGACCAGCCCCTGTTTCCAGGCTGAAGCAGCGCGCCAGCCCGTGTCTAACACGACTGAAATGAAGAAATGTCCAGTTCAGATTTGGTCCTTTTCTGTAATACACAAGAGAAATGGAAATTCACCGTGTTCTCAGCACAAGGTGTCTTGGCCATCGCAGGAGCTGGAAGGACTTGAATGTTCTGGGGAGAACAGCAGAAGGGGGGTTCCATTAGGCTCAGGCTCTCGTGCTAATTGACTTTCTTTTCTTAGAGGGAAGGTCCCAGATGAGTGACAGAGCTAGGTTAGCATAAAAGTGGTCTGAAGGGGTTCCTGCCTGCTTGGTGGGTGCAGACACGGCCAAACTTGCACTTCATGATTAAAATCTGGAATCATTAATTTAGTAGGAATCTTGACTTGGTTTTCTTATGTTTCCACATGCCCTAAACAAGAAAAGATGGTTCTAGCCAATCCTGCCAGCTGCTTTGAGGGGATTTAATACATAGTTACATATTCTAAGTTATGGTCAAATACACATAACATGAAACTTATCATCAGTGCCAGTTAGTACATTCAAGCGATGTACAGCTATCATGACTAGCTCCCATACCAGTAACCAGGAACTCCTCATTTTCATCCCTTGCCTCTCAATGGATTTTCCAACGCTGGGTATTTCATATAAACGGAATCACAATATGTAGGTTTGTGACTTACTTTCACTTAGTTTTCAAGATTCATTTATGTTATAGTGTGTATTGGTACTTCATTTTTATGGCTAATATTCTGTGTGGATATACTAAATTGTGTTTATAAGTTGTTAGCTATCTGGTTTGTTTTCACCTTTTAGCTTTTATAAGTAATGCCAGGATGAGTTTTTATTTGAACACTTGTTTTCAGTGCTTTTGAGTATATATCCATATACTATAGAATTGCTGAGTCAAATGGCAAATCTATGTTTAATTTATTAAGAAACTACTATTTTTAATTAATATTTGGACTTGGTGTAAGGAAAGGGCTCAACTTTTTCTTGTTTTTTAAGATTTATTTATTTATTTGAAGGCAAAGTAGAGGGATGGAGAAATGGGGAGAGAGAGATTTTCCATCCGCTGGTTCACTCCCCAAATGCCTGCAACAGCCAGGTTTGGGCCAGGCTGACATCAGGAAGGAAGAATTCCATCTACGTCTCCCAGGTGGATGGCAGGAGCCCAAACACTTGAGCCATCGTCCACTGCTTCCCACGATGTATTGCAGGAAGCCATGTTGAAAGCAGAGGAGCTGGACTCAAACCAGGCAGGCACTCCGATGTGGGATGCGGGCACCCCGAAAGGCCGCTTAACTTACTGTGCTGCAGTACCACCCCTCGAAGTTCTTTTGCATTATGGATATCCACTTTTCTCAGCACTGTTTGTCAAAGAGACTGTCTTTCCTATTGAATGGTCTTAGTATTCTTGTGAAAAATAAAGGAGCCGGCGCTATGGTGTAGCGGGTAAAGCTGCCGCCTGCAGTGCCAGCATCCCATATGGGGGCCACTTCAAGATCCGGCTGTTCCATTTCCAGTCAAGCTCTCTGCTGTGGCCTGGGAAAGCAGTAGAAGATGGCCTAAGTGCTTGGGCCCCTGCACCTGTGTGGGAGAACAGGAAGAAACTCCTGGCTTCAGATTGACCCAGTTCCGCCCCTTGCAGCCATTTGGAGGAGTCAACCAGTAGATGGAAGATCTCTCTCTCCCTCTCCCATTCATTCTCCCTCTCCCTCTCTCTCCCTCCCTGTAACCCTGCCTTTCAAATAAATTAATTAATTAAAAAAAAATCAATTGGCCGGCGCCGTGGCTCAATAGGCTAATCCTCCGCCTGCAGCACCGGCACACCTGGTTCTAGTCCCAGTCGGGGCCCCGGATTCTGTCCCGATTGCCCCTCTTCCAGGCCAGCTCTCTGCTGTGGCCCGGGAGTGCAGAGGAAGATGGCCCAAGTCCTTGGGCCTTGCACCCGCATAGGAGACCAGGAGAAGCACCTGCTCCTGGCTTCGGATCAGCGCGGTGCACCGTCCGCAGCGCGCCGGCCGCAGCGGCCATTGGAGAGTGAACCAACAGTAAAGGAAGACCTTTCTCTCTGTCTCTCTCTCTCACTGTCCACTCTGCCTGTCAAAAAAAAAAAAAAAAAAATCAACTGACCATACATGCCAGTGTTTATTTTTGAGTTTTCTCTTCCGTTGATCTGTATGGCATCTAAGAATGGAGATGGTTTTGTACTCCCCTTTCTAATTTGGATGCCAGTTATTTCCTTCTCTTGCCTAATTGCTTTGACTAGGATTTCCAGTACAATATTGAATGGCAGGCATCTTTGTCTTGTTCCTGACTCTTAGGGGAAAGCTTTCGGTTTTTTACCATTAGTTTCATGGTAGCTCTGGGTTTTTCATAAACATTCTTTTTCATGTTGAGGAAATTTCATTTTATTTCTAGTTTCCTAAGTGTGTTTGTTATGAAAGGGTCCTGAGTTTTGTCAGATACCTTTAATTTATCAGTTTAGATGATTGTGTGTACATGAATTACATTGTTTGGTCTTCTTATGTTGTATCACCCTTGCATTCATGAGATAAATCCCACTTGATCATGGAGTGTACTCTTTTTAATAAGCTATTGGATTCAGCTTGCTAGTGTTTTCTTGAGGATTTTTGCATCTGTATTTGTAAAGAATATCAGTCTAGCTTCCTTGTAGTGTCTTTGGCTTTGGAATTATGGTAATGCTGGCCTCAGACTGAACTAGGAAGTGGTCTATACTGTTTCTTGAAGAGTTTGTGAGAAATGAGAGTAATTATTATTCAAATTTTTTTTTTGACAGGCAGAGTTAGAGAGAGAGAGACAAAGAGAAAGAAAGGTCTTCCTTCCATTGGTTCACCCCCCAAATGGCCGCTATGGCCAGTGTGCTATGGCTGGCGTGCTGCGCCGATCCAAAGCCAGGAGCCAGGTGCCTCCTCCTGGTCTCCCATGGGGTGCAGGGCCCAAGCACTTGGGCCATCCTCCACTGCACTCCTGGGCCACAGCAGAGAGCTGGACAGGAAGAGGGGCAACCGGGACAGAATCCGGCGCCCCAACTGGGACTAGAACCCGGTGTGCCGGTGCCGCAGGCGGAGGATTAGCTTAGTGAGCCGCGGCGCCGGCCTAGAATACTGTCTTTATGTTTTAATGTGGTGAGTTTGGTTACAATGTGTTGTGGTGAGGCTCTTTCCTAGTCATATCTATTAGGAGTTCCATGTGCTTCCTGTGCTTGGATGTCCCTTTGTTTCTCCAAATTAGGGAAGTTTTCTGTAATTATTTCAATAAGAAAACCTTCTAATCCGATCTCTCTTTCCACAGCTTCAGGAACTCCTAGGACCTGTATGTTGGGTCATCTGATAGTATCCCATAAATCTCCAACACTTTGTTAGTTTTCTAATGTCTCCTTTTTTTTGGTCTGACTGTAAAGTTAGATAGAGATATGTCTTCTAACTTGCATGTTCTTTCTTCTGCCTTCTCAAGTCTGTTCTTAGGGCTTTTCACCATATTTTTTTATTTGTTCTATTGAATTCTTCATTTCTAATATTTTATTTTCTCTTTAAAATCTCAATTTCTTGGGGAAAATTTTCTTTCATGACATGTACATATTTCTTTAGTTCATGGATTTGCTTCTGATTATTTCTAAGTAATCTTACGATCAATTTTTTGAATTCCGTTTCTGGCATCTTCATTTCACATTCTAGTATTGAAGTGTCCTTGTCTTCCTTATTGTTTCTTGAATTTCTGTGTTATTAGACATTTGTGGTGAAACTTTTTTTTTTTCCCCTGTAATGGCTTTTATCTTTGGACGATGTCTCTGTGGCTCAGTGGGGTGTCGCTCGCTCTTTCAGTGATTATCCAGAGACCGTGTTCCGGGTGTGGCCAGGGAGCTCTGTTCAGTGCACCAGGGTGAGGGGAGTGTTCAAGGTGACACCCAAGTTGGGCATGGTAGTTTTACTTTTTTAATCAAGGGGAGGTTTGTTGAGATCTGTTGGTTATTCTCATACTCACCTCCTCTCTTCATAGGAGACCAGTGCCTGGGCGGTAGCCCCCGAGGGTACAGTTTTCATCCATGCTGCCACAGAACCACACAGAGGGTCCATGCAGTCCTCGGTGTGAACACGGATCCTGCAGCAATGACCCTCACAGGGAATCAGGGAGCCCCGAGCGTGTGGAACCTCTCACAAGTGACTGCTTACAGTCCTAGCCACACCCTGTGCCCTCCCATGTTTCCACAGTGCTGGCACACAAGGCTCCCACGGTCACGAGCACCCAGCTCCCTGTCAGTGCTTCCAGACAGACTCAGCTGTCTCTTCTCGGCTAGTTGCTGGGTGCGGACACACACTAGTGCAGTTGACGTATGTCAAAATGGCGCCAGCCCTCAGCTAGCCACAGCACGCTGGTGCCAGGTGTCAGGGAGAGAAGCGTGTCGCCCTTTTCCCTCTAGGTTGGCAGGTACACTGTCCCCCACAGAGTTCTAAGCTGGGCCCGTGCCAGGCTCTTCCCACAGCTGTATCACCAGTGGCTTGGGCTGTGCAGTCTGGT